TTAGGTACCTAAAATAATTTAATGTGAAATGAAATCTTGCAGAGCATGCTGTGAGCTAATAACATCACTTAAATCCAGACTCAGAGTGGTGATTCACTACACACACACACGCACACAGAGCTGACTCAAATCAACAAAATCTATTTAAAGCCATACATGCAACATGTTTCTCCAGCAGCTGCTGAACAAGTTGAAGCATAAGCATCTCTAAATGTTTCTGCTCATGTTTACCTTGCTTGCCTACTGCACCAGCATGTCTTAACAGCATTACAGTATCACTTGTGCCATAAACAAATTGCAGCATGTCTGGCGCTTCACTGAGTGTGTGCTCATGCAATTTATCCTCAAAAAATGTAATGTGAGGTTAGTACTTTCAAAGCTGCTTGTCTCAACACTGTCTTTATAGTGTTACCTCTATATACCCCCACGGAGGGTTTTAAACCAAACAATCAAGATGTAAATGAAGACTTTTAGCTTTGATTCAGGCAGACTGCCTGAAGTCGAGAGCTCGTGGAGAGCAGCAAATGTTGCGTTTCCTTCCTTGAGATGCTCTTCCAGGCCTTTACTGCTGCCACCTACAGTTGCTGCCTGTTTTTCTGACTCTCTGCCTTCAGTTTTTCGTTCAATTACTGAATAACATGCTCTATTGCACTAATGTAACTGACTTGGCCACCCAAGAATATCTTATTTCTTTGCCTTGAGAAACTCTAGGGTTGCTTTTGCAGTATGCTGCGGGTCATTATCTGTTTCCACTGTACAGTGTCATCTGATCATTGCAGCATTTGGCTGAATCTGAGCAGGAGGTATAGCCATGTACACTTCAGTTCATCTGACCGTCTCGCCCTTGAGTGTTCCCAGGGGTGTGCACCTTGTTGGAAACTCTCTGTACATGACTCTGATTACATGTTGTGAAGGGTTTTTTTCTTAACCATGTTTTTTGCTGTCACTCATGGCATTCTTCATAACGAGAGTTCAGGTGAACAGCTACCAAATGCATGCTCAACATCACCAAATCCATTTGTTTTGTAATAATGAGGGAATATTTAGTGTTCATGCAGTGATTTACTGCAAGAAACTGTAAAAAGAATTCAATGCTAAACATTAATATTCATTTGCCCTAATTTATATTGGCTAACCGTTGTGCTTAGACTTTAAGACTTGGGTCTCTGAAGTTTAAATTGTACCTGCTGTTCCCAGGCACCTGGACACAAATGGTGCTGTCAAAAAAGAATGACTCATATTAGTCTTTGAGTTTTCCTAGATGCTATGGAGAGCATGTAATTCGGACTCACTATCACTGTGGATCTTTTTTGGTTGCCAAAATGGACAGACTGGGTGTAAATCAGGCAGGAAAACCTGAAATACACCGCACTACACAATTTGCGTAACCACCAAAATTAGAAGAAACTAATTAGTCTCCTGCTTGTACCTGACAGGACACGGGTTTGTCGTGTTTGTTAAATACAATTTCGCTTTAATGTGAATCTTACAGTGAACAGTATAATGAGTAAAGCTGGTGTTTTTATTTCAAGGCAGAGTTGTGTAACTGTTTCCCGTTACTCTCTTTTATCCAGATTAGAGCTGAGGACCGCTTAAAGCGGTGGAATCCCGCCCACCCTGCACCGCCCGATAGGCTAGACCCTCCACAGGAACCAGCAAGAAAAGAGCATCATTTCAGGGATCCCATAGAATCCATGGGAGACCTCCATACTCGCACTTTCCAGCTTGAAGATGACAAAACCCCTTACTTTGTGCGCACCAAAGCTGGAGCCCTTTGCTTCAGGCAGGGGACAGAGGTAGCTACTCCTAAAGAGTACTATGGAAAATCAGGGGGGTCTGCGGCTAACGGAGCAGTTGGTCGGGCTGTTGCTGCCGGGCAACGGAAACCTCTGGAGCTCCAGCAGCAGCCCACCATTGTGCCAAAGGTCAAAGCTCGAGCCAAGGGCAACGGGAAGCGGCTAGTCAAGTGCGTTTGTCGGCCTGGGTGGCACGGACCTTACTGCGGGGTTCCCACAATGGTGTACCACTCCAATCTGCCAACTAAGGAGCGGCTGACGCCCAGAGAAACCCCGCGGAGGGTGATCAACGCCATCAACGTCAACCACGAGTTTGATCTGCTGCACGCACGCTTTCATGAGCTCTCAGAGGCCGTGGATTTGTTCCTCGTGTGCGAATCGAACTTCACCGCCTACGGAGAGAAACGGCCTCTCAGGTATGATTCAAAGTTGTTTTTTGGACAGGTGCATGTGAAGGGATTATAAAAACCGCCCAACCCCCCGCGGTCAAGGTGTATTTGTGTGAGATGTGTAGTCCTCTGTGGCCTTCAGTTTATGACTCTGTAGTGCCCAACAGTACGCATTGTAAAATAAACTTTAAACTGGATTAAGTCACAAGAACAGTGTGTATATGTTATAAAGGTCATGTTATGTCATCTTTATGTCTTTATATGGATAAATGAGCTCACATGAGGACACACTGTTAAACAATAAAAGCTCCATTTGTGCTCATTTTTTTTTTTTTTTTTTTT